TTACTTTGGATTTAATCAACTATCTTTAAGTAAATTTAAAAATAAGGAAAACCTGTACATTTATCAACTTATTTACCACTTGTAGTGCTTTCTATTCCTTTGTCTAGATTTACATCTTGTATCACATCCCTTTTAAGGACTTCCTTTAACGTTTCTGATAGTGTACTCATAGGTCTGCTGGTGAATTCTGTTTGTTTTCATGTCTGAATAACTCATTGTTTTGTCTTTGTTTTTGAAAGCTTTTTTCACTGGGTGTAGAATTCTAGGCTAGTAGTTTTTTTCACCTTTAAATATTATCTTTCAGAAATGTAAAGATGATGCCTCAGTCTTCTGGCTTGCATTTTTTCTGATGTGAAGTCTGCTGTCATTTCATTTTTGTTCCTCTGTACTTAAAAGCTTTTCTTCTAGTTTTAATCTTCACTGATTTTTAAGTAAGTTTATTATTCAATGCCTCAGCATAATTTTCTTTTGCTTGAAGTTCATTGGGCTTCTTGGATTTATAGTGGGTTTATAGTTTTCATCAAATTTGGAAATTTCTTATCCATTAATTCTTCAAATATTTTTTGTCTTTCCCCTCTCCTCTCTTCACTTTGAGACTCAAAATACAAGAATAAAATTTTTGCCTGAAATTTTCCTATAGCTCACTTATGTCTCCTAATCTTTTTTTTTCAGGTTTTCTTATCATAGCTATCTCTAAATTCACTAATGCTTTGTCCCACGGTGTCAAATCTGCTAACTCTATTCAGTGTATTTTACATCCAACATCATGTTTTTCATCTGTAGCAGTTTGACTTGCATTTAAAATATTCAGTCTTTTCTCTACATGCTTAAACAGATTGTAATGTTTTATAATTACATAGATGCTTTAATAAAAACTAATATAATACAATAATTGTTTTAAAATAACTACTTTAGTGTCCTTTTATAGTAATTCTATCTTTGCATTATTTCTGGGAGTATTTATTGTTTCTTGTCCTTATTTTGTGTTGTATTTTCCTGTTTTTCTTGTAAGTCTGCTAGTATTTAGTTGGACACCAGACACTGAATTTTACCTTATCTGCAGTGTTTTTGTAATCCTGTATTCTTGAATTTTCTTCTAGAATGTAGTACCTTGGAAACAGTTTAATTCTCTGGAGCCTTGCTTTTAAGGTTTGGTAGGCCAGACTAGAGAAATCTGTAAGTCTAGGGCTATTTTTCAACCTATTACTGAGACAATACATCTTTTTTATTATTATTAGTTTCAGATGTACAAAACAGTGTAACAGATATTTCACCCCTCACAAAGTGATAACCCCACTCCCCCAATCTTGATCCTCTGACATCGTATATATCTACAATTCCATTGACTCTATTCCCTATACTATACTCCATATCCCATGATATATATATATATATATATATATATATATATATACACATATATGAATATATACATAAAATTATAGTTGGCATATAATATTATTCAGCTTCAGCTTTACAGAGCAGTGGTCAGGCATCTACACCATGAAGTGGCCTCTCTAATAAGACATGTCCCCATCTGACACCCTACAAAATCTTTACAACATTATTAATTATATTCCCCAAACTATCTTTTATATCCCTGGCAATATTGTAATTACCAATTTGTGCTTTCTATTCCCCACCCTTCTCCCTTATTCCCCCCACCCCCCTCCCATCTAGCAACCATCAGATTTTCCTCTGTGTCTCTGAGACTATTTCTGTTTACTTTGCTCATTTATTCAGTTCTTTAGATTCCACATATAAGTGAGAACATATGGTATTTGTCTTTTTCCATCTGACTTTTCACTTAGCATAATGTTCTCTAGGTCCATCCATATCATTGCAAATAGTACGATTTCATTCTTCTTTATAGCTGAGTAATACTCCATTGTATAAATGTACCACAGCTTCTTAATCTAGTCATCTACCAATGGGCATTTCGGTTGTCTCCATGTCTTGGCTGAGACAATACACTTCTTAGCACTCTAATCAATGCCCTGTGATTTACATGGTTTTTTGCTCTTACTGGTGGGAACACAAACTGGTTTGTGTGAGTCAAGGTTTTCTTTTTTTGCTCCTTTGGAGTGACTGTTTTTCTGGCCACAGGTGGTTTCCTTGCCAGATGTATTGCTGTACTATGCTGGAAACTTGAGGCAAATCCTCTGCAGATATCTGGAGCTACTTGTACAGCTGCCTCCTAATATCATGCTCTGCAGACTCATGCCACCTTAACTTACCCTGGCTCTCAAATGCTTCTCCACTAAGGGAGACCTCTCCATGAGATGTGGGCTGGGACCCCTCAGTAGTTAGAGGGAATCTTGGGGCTCATCTTTGCTATTTCTCTTCCCTCAGAGATCACTATCCTGTCTTGCCTTTCATCAAACCAATGGAAACAAATACTTCATACATTGTGTTATTTTCTGTAGTTTCTTGTAGGAGTTCATTATTCCATGCTGGCTGCTAGAAGTCCTTCATCAGAAACAAATCTGTTATTCTAACCATATGTCAGACTGCTTTGTTTTAGCCGGGGAAGAGAGGCATTATTGGCTCCCTAAACCCCTTAAAAACAAAACCTTTATTATTTTTTTAATTAAGAGAATGCTTCTCTCTAGGGTAACTGCCATCTTCTTTCCCCCACAATATACTTAAGGGATAAAACTACACTGTATCATTAACAGTGGCTCCCAATTGCAACGATTCCCTTGGGGATAGAGCATGTATGCGTGGTTTGAAAATATGCTGAAAACTCACATCTCTACCATGTCTTCCTTATATATAATGTTGGCCTAATTTAGTATTCGCTTTAAGGAATAATCTTTGTAATCACTTCTAAAAATTAAGAATAGATTTTAAATATGATCAACTTCTTTGCTTCTACTACAACCTGAGTTTAATTATTTAACCCTTTGATATGGCATTTCCTTCCATTGAGCCTAATTACAATCCTCGAACAAACTGAGCTTGGTCACGAGATGTCACTACGTTAATGTATTCCTAAGTGCCATTTGCTAGTATTTATGATTTTCAAATGTATGTACACAAGTGAAACTTATCAAGTTTTCAATTTTTGGTAATCTGATTTCGGTTTTGGGATTGTTCTTGTTAAGCAAAAATGTAATTAACTGGAAAGATATTCCACATAATGAAAGAGTAAGCTAAAGGACCAGACTCATGAGGCACTTTAGTACGCCATCCTCATTTGGAATTAATCGCAACCATTTTCTTGCATTATTCCAGGAATAATTAGCCTAGCTTTGGTCTCATCTTCACCACAAAGTTAAGAAAAGTGTCTGACAGTCCCACCCAAGCTAGAGGATTAATTCTACAAAGGAAAACTGAGGTGCTACCCCTAGAAAAAAATAGATGCAAGACAGATAAAAATCAAAAGATGCTTCTATTGATTTGTGTCTTAATTTTTCCTATGCTCAGGAACACGGGAATTATCAGCTAACCAAACGTTAGAAATGACTCCTCAGTGCATTCATTGTCCCTGAGGACATTTGAGCACTGGTGGGATCCTTCTCAGTCTCTTCGCAATTATTGGTCTATTCAAATTTCTTACCTCTACAAGCTAGATTTTAAAGACTGCTATGCTATGATCGATCACATCTGATAAAAGTGAACTGGCATTTTGTGTAACAGCCCCTTGTTAGCTCTGTGACCCTGACTCCAAGTTTCACTTTGTGATCGCTTCCAGGGGAAGGGATGATAGAAATAGAAAGAGCATCTTGAGATAGCTCTCACTCCTTTCTCCCCATGGGCACCGTGGCAGTAGTTAGTTTCTTCTTTTCCCTTCCTCCGAATGAACCCTTTTCTTTTGTGCATCATTTTTGGAGTTATTTTCGCCAGTCAACACATCCATTTCAATCAGCAAGAACTGCCCTGGTCCTTGATCCCTCGTCCCCAGATTTCTGCCGATATACCAAGTGCACCTGGCGTCTCTCCCCTTGGATTCAGGTGTACTCAATTTCCAAGACCACTCTGGAGCTTTCGTAGGCAGTAAGCTTATAGAAAGCACCTTTGTCCACCGCAGGTGACCCATCTGTTACTCAGACTTATTGCCAGGCAATACAGCAGCTCTGGGAGCATGACATTTGAAGTCCCACAGATTAAGGTTTCTAGCCTTGCTCTACTTTTTCTTAGTTGTGTAAACATGGCCTATTTTCCCTTCCCTTAGTTTGTTCTTTCCTCTGTAAAACGTAAGACACCAAAGGACTGTCATCAGAACCTGAAATGTTGCCATGACTACCCTGAGGATTCCTTTTGTATAACATGTTTTAGGATTTTCAAAATTAGCGTTTCACTTGTTATTTCTCCTTCGTTCTATCAATGATAGATCCCATGAAGTTGGTATAAAAAAACAAAAACAAAAAAGCGTTACAAGCAAGTGGACCGGAACACAGTTTCTAGTCTCAGCTCTATACTTAAGTTTTGTATCCTTGGAAAAATAAAAAAGATGGGGTCTTGATTACAATAATGGTTTTCAGACCACAGTCCTCTATAAAGCCTAGAGTCATAACAGCAGTAACACTGAACATTTTCCATTAGTTTCAGGTAATAAACTAATGGACATATTTTAACTTCACCGTTTTCTCCTATATTAGTCAAATACTGAGTGTGGCTGTTTTTAAAAACTGAACAGTTCTGCTTGGCGTATCAGGTATTTTCCCTTCCTTAGCGCTGCACAGGCGCTGTCCTCTGCGGCCGGAAACACCGCCTCTGGTTTGAACGACGGCACCTCACACACTGAGATCGCGCGTATGTGGAAAGAGCAGACTCCGAGCTCCTCTCGGGAAGCCTCAGGTCGCGTGCGCGCGTGAAGGTGACCTCGTGACGGCGCTTCCCGCCGGAGAAGGCGCAGCTCCGCGGCCTCGGCCAACCACACGGCCGCCCGCGGCGCTCCGGCTCCGCCTCCCAGAGGCCCCGCCTCGCGGCCAGGGGGCGGGGCCCGGGAAACGGGGCGGGGCCCGGGAAACGGGGCGCCCCGCCGCCGCACTCACGGACTCCTTCTCGAACATGCTGGGCCTCCGCTCTTTCTGAGGCGCCGTGGCCGGCAGCTGCAGGGTCTGGCTCGACGGCATGTTGCCACCGCGGCCCCGCTTCTCCATCGCGCCCTCCTTCCGAGACCAGGAGCGCCTCGACCGCGGGCGCCTCCAAACGCCTCGGCCGCTTCCCGCGAGAGCGCAAGTGTCGCGCCTGCGCAGCGCCAGCCGGGGGCGCGGCTGGAGGGGGCGGGGCGGGTACGTCATCCGGCGGCGCCCGCGGCTGGGAGCCGGAAGTCATGGAGGTAGAGCGGCTGTGGCGGGCGCGCTACCCTGGCGCTCGGCGCTGGCGGGCGGGCCTCGGCGGTCTCGCGGGAGGGCAGCGCCCGGAGCCCGGCCGTTTGCGACGCCCCCGCGCGGCCTGGCCCCGTTCCCCGAGCCCGGCCCGCGACCCTGGTGAGGGCGGGCGCTCCAGGGCCCAGCTCCCAAGTCCCCCGGGCTCCAGGCCGAAGGTGGCGAATGTGTGAGCGTTAGTGCGGTGGCCGCGCGCGTGGGGGGCGCCCGGCTCTGACGCCGGGACAGCCAGGCCGCCCCGAGCCCAGAGCCGCCAACCCGGGGCGAGACTCGCAGCGTTGGTTCCGACCGGACTCCGTGCCGGAGGGAAGCTTTGCCCGGTACACGCGAAGCCGCGTGGCCGTCCTGTGTAACAACCGCCTGCGCGGCTCACACTTGCAAATTAAAATTATATGCGACCTTTTTAGCCATTTTGGTAACAAAACTCAATCCCAAGGGCCTCATTGACTGGCTGCAGTTCGGGTTCTCCCGGGTTGCCTTGCAGTAAGGACTTTATCTTCCCTTTCCAGACAATCACCAAGCATCCAGCGTCAGTTTTAGCAACATCCGCTCTCTGTGTGCTGGGTGCTTTTCAGCCGTTATCTCTAGTGACCACAACCCTAGAAGGTGTTTTGCGGTTTTAATATTTTGCAGTTTTACAGTGGAAACCGAGCCTCAGACATAAGTAACTTTTTCAAGGCAAGAGATAGATTCTGAGGATGGATTCAAATTTAAGCCTTTCTGCTCCAAAATAACGTTTGCGTCGCCATCCCACGCTGCTCCGGGCAGGACACCCAAGTACCAAAGAGTAGTGGCGTGGGCGGGGGAGCACGCATGCGCACACGTGCAAACAGGCCGGGTCTGGCGTCTAGTGGGAGGACACGCGTGTTTGTGGCTGTAATACACAGGGCAAGGCGTCTAATTGTCACGAGTGACAATTTATGCAGCATCTAATACTTGTTGATTTGAAGTTGGAGTTTATTTTTAAATTAATCGTGAGGTCTTTTCTTATCCAAGAGAGTATGGGCTTATAACCTAAACTAAAAGCCAACTTCTAGAATTGTGTATCTGTTGGCAGGGGACAAGATGTAGTCATCCCCAAAGCCGAAGGCTGTGGAGATGTATTTCAGCTGAGAGTAAGAGGGGCCAGTCTCAGGTACCTCTTGCTATTCATTTACTGTGTGCCAGCAGCTCTGCTACTGCTGGGGTCCAGGTTGTAGAAGACCTGCTCTCTGTTCCAGGGTCTCAGAGTTCGCTTGAGGCCCTGTGTTGATGGCGCGTCTACAATTAAAAAAGAAGTTTCCTTACAACTTATGTTGTCATATCTAGGGTCCGCTTTAGAGTGGAGCCCGTGGGCTTTTGTGTACAAATCCCGGTTTTGTCTGCTGCCTGTCACTCCGGAAATACAGCTCATTCCTTGAGTTTGAATGCCTTTTCAACATGCAGAGTCTCTTTTGAGGTGAAAGTAGCCCTTAAGAGTATTATGTTTCTGTGTCCGTCAGGACACAAAGCACACTGGATTTTGAACTAAGAATTTAAAGAGTTGACGAGGTGTCTGAACTGATAAAAAGCCATCTCTAAAAGTATGGAGGTGGCAGCTGCGGGACTGAGAGAACGCAGGGCAGTGGGTGGAATTTTGTTTATTTTTTAACATTAGTTTCAGGTGTACAACACAGTGCAATAGTTATACTTTTTACCCCTCAAAGTGACAACCCCCCTCCCCCAATCCATCAAGTGGGTGAAATTTTTAAAATTAGACATTTAGAGGAGGGTCCCTCATACCTGAAACTGATCTCTAAGGAGTGGGGAGGTGCTGCCCAGCCACCTGGACGTGGCCTTTGAAAGGCAGGCACCAGACGCGTGGTGGTGTGTCCCTGGTGGGGCCGGAGGCGAAGCTGGGCCGACACGTGTTGGGAACACTGCAGACTGCATTCAGCGGCTGCGGCTGAAGGCAGTGCTCCAAGGAGCAGAAGGTGAACAGGAAGTCACCTGGCTGCAGGCAGCAGGAACACGTCCCCTCTTCCCCTGCCTCTTGCCCTGTCCCTCTCCAGTGCCCTGACTGGCTGAGCAGGGTGTGGTCTGCAGAGTCACGGAGACCCTGACATTCACATGGACTTCTTGGGCAGTGCCATAACTGCTGGAGCCGGTGGGGAGTGGCTGACAAACGGGACGGAACCTACACTGGCCGCTGCCAAATTAGGAATCGGCCAGGGCTTAATCACCAACTTCAGAACACTGGCATGCCTTCACACGTCAGATGAAGACCCTGGGCCAGCGTTAGACCTAGATTATGACTTTGCAGGTTTATGGATGATCTTAGCGTAATGTGGGGATAATTAGGGGGATTTGGATTTTATTTAATCCTTCATGGAAAAGCAGTGTAGTTTGCTGCTTTTTCCGTTTTAGTTCATTATGCTTGATTTTCTGCTTTCCCACTCCCCGTTAAAAAAGTTGCTTGTTTTGATAACTTTGGGATAGTATAGGAATGCTAAAAGGAATAATGAACTACTCATAAAAACACAGAGCTTCTGTAAACTTACATCTTAACAAATATTATGATTAAGAAAATTATTATAAATCTTTAAACATTTATTTGAAAACATTTACCTAAATTGTCTTTAATACTTAATCACAGTGTTAATCATGATGTCCACAAAGTACGTTAACAGTGGTATACCTGAGTATATTCTGTACTTAGAATTTTCTTGTGAGTTAAATGTATAATTAACACTCCTCTGGTTTTTTCTGTTTCTTTTTAATTTTTTAATTTTTTAAAATTAAAAATTAATTTTAAAATTAATTTTAAAATTAAAAAATTAAAAAAATTTTTAATTTTTCTGTTTCTTTTCTTTAATAAACTGTTTCTTCATAAAAGAAACAGTTTCTTTTATGTTTTTTATTTCAGGTATCATTAGAGGATCCTATTACCACATGTCTTTCTCCCTCCGTGTATGATATGATCTGTAAACTCGGGTTTGAAGTAAGAGACAGTTGTGACATCAATAGTATTGTAACTCAGAATGGTGAAGTGTGCTGGAAGTCCGTCACAGACTGTGTGGTTTATACACAATCAGGTTTGTACACAATCAGGTTTGACTGTGTGATTTATACACAATCAGATTTGTACCTGCCCTGTGCCCTAAACATCCGTCAGTACTGTTCCATTAAAATGTCTTGACCTGCAAAGTTCCCCTTTTTGACCATTGGTGTTTTTGGTCAGAGGATGTTATAACACAGGCCTAATTCAAGAGAGAAGGGGAATTAGTGTGAAAGAAGAGGGAACAAGGCCAGAGAAGCACTGAAGAGTTAATGGGAGGTGGGCTGAGAAAAGCAGGGGTGAGAAGTGGGGTTCCCACCAGTGAGGGTGCATGGAGCTGTGGGTGATGTGGCTGTCAGCTCCAGGCAGCAGTCCACGTGGAAGATGGCTGAAAAACGAGTCATGAACTGAGGGCATGACACCACCAGTGACAGACTACATGATTGTTTTCAGTGTCTTTCAGCCATCCTTGTGCATGTCTTGGAGCAGGGATTGGGTGGAGAAGTCTAACGATAGTTATAAAAATGACAAATGAGCGTGCCCTGGCCCAGCAGGCCCATTCCAGGCACACTTACAGGTAGAGTGTGTGTGCCAGGCCGCTCCTTATGGTGTCATTTGTGACAGCAGAGAGGAAAAAGGCACTGGAAGCAGCCAGGCGTCAAGCAGTAGGGGATTGCTTGGTATTTATGAAAAAATGCCCACTGTGGACTGTTTATGCAGTGGTGAAAAAGAATGGAGGCCGTCTTTCCAATACAGAGATCTGCTATGTGATGAAATGAGAAACATATATTTGTGTTTGCTAGTATGTGCATAAATATTTCCAAATACACAAGGAGTGAATGATAATACGTACTCTAGGAAGGAGAGCTTTGTGTCCAGGAGGACATGTGAGTGTTCAGCTCCAAACATGAAAATATAAATAATGTTCTAAAATAATTAAGGTCGTTGGAATTCTCAGTCTAATAATGTGAAGTAAAAAAAAAAAATCGGGTGGCTGGTTCGCTCAGGTGGTTAGAGCGCAGGCTCATAACACCAAGGTTACTGGTTCGATTCCCACACAGGCCAAGGAGCTACGCCCTCCACAACTAGATTGAAACAACTACTTGACTTGGAGCTGATGGGACCCAGAAAAACACACTGTTCCCCAATAAAATTTCTTTAAAAAATTTTTTTTTAATCAGGATAAAATACATAAAGTATGAACCTGATTTTGTATGAACTTATATATAGGTGAAGAAATTGAAGAAAATATTTTTTCTCTTCTGTGAGCCTTCCCATATTTTCCAAACTCTCTACTAATAGCATATTTTTCTTTTATAACCAGATAAGCACTATGTAATTTATTTTCAAAAACATATGAGTATCTTCTTTGTAAGTTCAATTGTAAACTACTTGACTTTATGGGAATTTTGTAATTGGAGCACTTTTTCCTGGATGATTCAGACTTTGTCACATGGTATGGAACTGTCTGTGGTGCTGACTTGTCGTCTTTTCCTTTAAGCCCAGGCTCTGGACTACCGGGGGAGCGTGAGGCTGCTGGGCCCCGTGTGTGAGGCCGTCCGTTTGCATTTGTCGTCTCTGACCAGGGGGCAGTTTGAAATGCAGTATGCACCTTGGCTCCAGTGGACAAGTTCTCCAGAGGTTTGGCCTTTGTTCAACCTTAGAAATAAGAGACTTTAACATTGCGCGTAGCGACCCTTCTACTTGCGAATTTTAAAGGGCTCTCCTTTACGCCCTCCTCCAATTGAGAAGAAGGCTTGAGGGTCGTGTGGGAAGCTTGGAACTCTTAAGCAAAGTCTCTAACACCTGACAAAGGACGTATTGGGATGCAGCATGCTGATGGTGGTTGGAGAGGTAGCATGCTTGGCACGTGGTGCTGGTCCTGGGGCAGAAGTAAAGTGGACTGATCCAGAAAAAAAAAGAAAGACCTTCTGGGCAGATAGTAGGGTATTCCTGAGACAGTGGGACCCGGAGACTGGAAGTGGGGATGCTTGGCTTGTTAAGGGTGGATTGAAAGGAGGCGGGTAGTTTGGGGCCATTAAATGACCACAATAGAGCAGTAACTCTAACAGTCTAATTCTAAAATACTTTGGATTTCCTAATTGAGAGCAGAAAGGTCAGCGCATCGCCCTTTGTAGTAGCTCCCTGAATTGGCTGGGTGAGCTGCCTTAGGTTTATTTTTAAGAACTAATCAAAATGGGAAATAAAATTTAGGTCAAAGTAAGCGACTTATCAGTTGACAGGCCACGTTTACTGCTTTCAATAAACATTTAAATAAAGAACTCCGAAAGAACTTCATAGGTATTAACATTTTTTTGATTCTTTAGATATTTTTATATTTACATAGAAAATGTTCACCTCTACCAAAAAAGTCATTAAAATATGATAAAATCTTTAGAGGTTTGAATTTCATGAATAGTATTGCTACTTTGTGAAATATTCCTTATTGAGCATAAATTCTAACTTGTATCTTATTCTAAACAGTTATTTGCTGAAGTATTTGATGCCTTGGAAAGTCTTCAGTCTCCTGCTATTTCTCTCAGCTTAATGAAGCTGACAGCGTGTCTAGAACGCGCCTTGGGTGATGTGAGTGTGAGAATTCTTTCACTGTGGGGCCATTCAAGTATCTGAGTGCACATGAAGCGATTCTGGAGTCGCCTTCAGATTGTTTGATTCTGATTATTGTTTTCCTATAAAATGCAGTTATTTGGTACAGATTTTAAATATCTTTTGAACGATTATGAGATTAAAATGCTGGTGTCTTCATTATCTGTCTCCCCTCATTTGTACAAACAGTAGATTTACGGGGGATGTTTTTTCTGAACCTCACTTGGCTCATTGTAATGCAATTGTTACATGATTTCTGTTTGAATTTTAGGTATTTTTGCTGATTGGAAAAGAATGCCCCTTTCTTCTAAGAGATCTGCTAACATCTAAGGAGCTTGCTCAAGTCTTTGGGCTGTCTGTGGTAAGTTTGTTTACCACACTGATAGAGTAGGCACAACACAAAACAGTTAATGTTAGCTGTACTTTTGTTCCTCAAAAAACAGTGCTGTAGTAGGAAAAATTAATTATGTCTGATTCAAGCATATTCTTCTTTCCCACCTCCCCTTTCAAAATTACCACTCTTCCAGCCAAAAGACACACACCTCTCCTATACTGAGTCTTAATATAGTATAATGGCCCCAGATGTGATGGCCCCAGGTATGATGGCCCCAGCTGTGATGGCCCCTGGTGTGATGGCCCTGGTGTGACTGTTTAAGACTGACCTTTATGGGCTGGCCGAGTGGCTCAGTTGGTTAAGAGCTCGCTCAAGAGTTTGAGCTCTGAGCAACAGTGGTTCGAGTCTAGGCCCGAGCTGAGCAGCCACTGAGCTGCCAACAGGTGGCAGGATGGCTCAGCTTAAAAAAAAAAAAAAAAAGAAAAAGAAAAAAGACTAACCTTTAGGAAACTGCAAGGGTCAGGGTCAAAGTGAAGAAGAAAGCCAGGAACTGTCATGTGGAAAGGATACTTGCTGGGCCAAGAAGTCATTTCAAATAATCGTATCGTATGTTACAGGCTTGGCACATTGTCTGTGGACAGAAAGTCTGTTTTCCATCTTCACAGTGCTTCCTTACCACTTGTCACCTTGAAAATTGTTTCTTTTCGTGCAGAGCATGGAATGAAGAAAAGTATAAGTGTCTTGTTGTCACACTGACTTCTTAAACTGTTATTTTGAGCTGATCTTTGTCTGCCAATGTGCTCTCAGCCTTTTGCCTACCTCCAGTCACTATCACCCCCAGGTGATTTTACTAGTTCGCGGGCATATGTGTTTCTGATTGCCCAGATGGTATGAACAGTTAATTAACATTTAATATTAAATTAAGAGTGAATAGCATTAAATACTGCAATGGTCAGTCACTAACAGTAAAGTCTTAAAATTACCGTGAGAGAGAAGACCTGCAACAGCATGAATTGCTGCCCAGTGAGCACTGGAACCAGGTGGACCGCATTTATGATGCCCGTGCTCTGGCCCCGCTCCACCGCTGGCTCCGCCCCGCCCCTGGCTCACCCCACCCCCTGGCTCACCCCACCTTCTCAGGGGAGTGCTGAGAGCCCCTGAGTGGTTCTCAGCATCTGGTTCATCTGCTTGAAGACAGTCTGCCTTCCTCTGAGCCTCTGGAGGCTCAGCTGCCCCTTCTCAAGTGGCGTGCTGTTCAGTGCTGAGTCTGAACATGTTCCATCTTTTCTGAATCTCTTCTAACGTGTGAGCCGCTCACCGGAGGTCACCCGGAGATGCGGGGACCCCTGTGATGACTGTGTCTGCACTTCACAGATGGGGCACTTGGAGTCGGGGCCGGCCGGGCCTCCGCACCTCTAGCCCGAGCCCACGCCGCTCGCTGGCCTTGCCGTGCTCTCCGTTTCTTATCTGTTTCACCCAGACGTCAGGCACCTTGCGTGTGCAGTGTGAGAGCGCCCCGCTTGCTCTTCTCTGCGTGGGGGGCAGCGCTGCCCTCGGCACAGGCCAACTGAGAGGCAGATGCACCAAATCACATGCCAATCTCCAGTAAATGTTGTTTATTGTTATTACTACTTGGTCGTTTTTATTGTTGTTATTTCTATTGTTACTATAATACGATGATGACGGTGACTCTGAACCAAACCAGCCCCTGCTGGTTCCTTTACTTCTAAGGAAGACAGAGGACATTAGCCCCGTGTTACTTGTCTTATCTGCCGCTCCGTTGTTATGTACCTGTTTGACACTCTGCTGCCTTTCACCTGAGCAGATGAACGTGCTGAGAGTCTTCGTCGGCTCTCCGTGTGGCCTTAACCTGCGCAACGTCTTGTGGCACGGCTTCGCATCCCCTCATGAAATCCCGCCCATGTAAGTTCTTTTTGGATGTGCTCAAGGATTTGTTTCCTCTTTAATTTCACAACAAGAAAGCATATATCTTGAAAAATATGAGAGAGTTTGGGGACAGGATGTTGGAGATAAAACTGAATGTTATTAGTGGCAGAGTAACTGGAGGTGACGGGCAATGACTCCCCTGACTGCACCCGGAGGCAGTTCAGAGGGTAAACCAGAAGTGGGTGGTGATGGCGCAGCTTCTGGTGGGGGAAGCCCCCGAGGTGGCTGAGGTGGCCTGTCCCCGCCGTCAGCGAGGCACCGCTTCATCCCTGCAGCTCCAGGAGGTTCCTGCAATCTAATGGTGCTTTGTGTTCTTGATTTTAAGCTTTTTATTTTGAAAGCAAAGCGTTTTATGTGGATGAGTGAGTTCATTTTCTAACAGATCTCTATGGCATTTTTCACTAGGTACTGTTCAATGATGGTGGTGTTGACGGCAGGACTGGGGCAGCTCCTGAAGAGTTACCTTCAGCAGAGCGAGCTCACCTGGGCACCTCGACCGCTCATCGCTCTCCCAGACTTAGAGGATGGGGCCGTTTTCCCTGGCAAGTGTTACACGTCACGTTTTCCCACATGAGCTCTGCAAACATACTTACAGAGTCCTTAAGGAGCATCCAGACTTGAGCTCTTTAAATGGAATAGTCACTGTCTGGTAGCGAGATGCCTTACAAGTTACATGAAGAACCTTGTAACTGCTCTGCAGGACCTTCCGTCTTGCCCTTGCCTCCAGGTATGGGGAGCCCTTGCGGGTCATCCTCTGTGAATCATATTCGTGAGAGACCTGGTTTAGCCTGCAGATGTGGTGACACCCAGTGGCCTGGGACCATCCGTAGCGGGCCTTCCCTTCTGCTTTTTTTCCTCTTGTGCCTTCGTGCTCATAATCGTCATGCCGAAAGCGCCAGCAGTGTAACCGTCTCGCGTCTTCTTTTCTCTCATGACAGAGCTATTTGCCAAATTCTGAGGGTGGGGGACACAGAACTTTGAAAGAGCAATGAAAGCATGTGTTTGCTCCACGCTAGGTCCTTTTCCACTCTGGCGGTTGGGGTGTCAGGTCTGTATTTGCCAGCGTGAGTTGTGGAGGACACGGCGCAGACCACCTTAGCCCAAGATGGCCTTTTGGCAGTCTTCTGACTGCCTATACATACATATGTTTTAGACTTTTTTAGAGCAGTTTTAAGCTTGTAACAAAATTGAGAGGCAGGTCAGAGATTTCCCGCTCACCCCCTGCCTCACACATTCTCAGCACCCCCATTTTCAACAGCCCCACCAGATAGGACATTTGTTACCAAGGCTGAACCTACTGTGACACGTCATCATCACCCAAGCCCACTGTTGTTGACCTTAGGGTTCACTCTCGGTTTCTCTATCTTCTGAAAAGATATTTTCTTGGTCAGTGTGGTCACCTGGTCAACCCTGAGCACCTCTACTCAAAGCTGTTGCAGCCTAATCACTAAAAAGATGCCGTGTCCATGCCCACGTTTTCCAGCGGCACCTACGGTCACTGCACCGCTGGCTCTGGCTCAGGGGGTCTTCCTTACTCAGAGGCATGCACTGCCCAGAGCTGCGGCTCCTACGCAAAGAAGCCGCTTTTCGGCAACACTCCCTAAGTGTCTGCACGTGTTTTCAATTGATTAGTGTGATTGTGCTTAAAATACTCGCTCTTTTGCAGAAGTTACTCAGGAGGTACTTTCAGTACTAGAGGAAGTGATGAAGAAATCCACTTTTATAGTAAGAACCATGTTGCCATATTGGGAAGTCGCATTGATCAAGTTCAAGTCACACAGGTAATGGAAGGGGGTGTTGCACGGTGGTCCTTGAAGTGTGGAGGCCAGCCCCTTCTGAAGGCCCCTGCCTTCCAGGCCTGCGTGCTGCTGGCGCCCGGTTAATCTAAGTCGGCCGACTCAGGCGGAGCTGAGCCAGGCCCTTCGTGTGACCGATAACAGGCTCCTGTAATTGTGTGTGTAAAGTCCTGTGTCATCCTTTTGGTACAGTTGCTAAAGACTATTATTTTTAACAATCAACTTAAAAATTGTTTGTGTTCTTACTCTGAGTGAAACATTGTGTCCAGTGTCAGAGAATCACGGAGCAGTAAGTGAGGATCGTCCTCTTAGTCCCCTGGGGGCTGGGCATGTGCACCTCGCCGGCCTAATTCCTTCCCAGTCACATTCTCCTGGTACATTCACTTGAGGACCTTGAGAACCCACTGAAATCCTGGTGTTTGAGTGTGTTTTAGAAGTGATGAAACAAATTAGGCAGACTTCGATGACGTTTTATTCTACTGAGGTACTAAAAATGTCTCATCAAATATTAAAACACTGGGAGATAGTTTAAAATCACTAGTCTGAGGAGCCTTTGCTTCTGTATTGTGTCCCATCTTAGCAGTGGAATGTCCCCTCCTTGAATCGCACACAGTGGTCAGGACAGGAGCACAGCACCGTGACGCAGTGCTGGCACCTGTGTTTCCTTCCCAGCGGGGACTTTTGCTTATTTACCTTCAATTTCGCAGGTTTGCCGATTGTGCCATGTTGTTACTGACGCAGCTCGAGACCGGACTTAGGCACCTGTTTGCCACCGTTAACAAGTGTCCCAACAGACTTCTGACAGCCGAGGTACAGGTGCTCCAGCGACTGATGGTTACTGTGGCCGTTGCTGAGGCGACAGCCTCCTGTGCCTAATTACAACTTCTTTATGTCTGACTTATTTTCATTTACCATTAAATTAACTTTTCAGTGAAGAGCTTTCCTTGGAAGGCTTGACTGCCTAGTATAGTGATTTTATAGCATTTGTGTTTACCTATGATTGTTTTTGGTTGTTCTATAATATTTCCGAGTTGGCTTTTAAACTTAGTGATGTCATGAAGGTAGCAAGCTCTCACTTTACCTCTGTAGCCGTAATCGCTGGCGTGCCACTGTAACCCCACAGTGGGCCGGGGTCTGCAGCATGTCCCTCTTAACACTTAGTCACACCCAGCTGTGGGGAGGCTTGGAGGTGTTCTGGGTGGCCACATGCCCATTTAGGCGCCGGAGGGCGCCGGTAAGGAAGGGGCCGCGTGTCCTGGTCTGACAGCAGCGCGTGCCGACCTGGCCTGTGCTCTCACGCCTTTCATGGCGTGCCTTCCTCTCCCCCTTCCCGTGCATCCCTCCGAGTTCTGTTAGCTCTGGCCTCTCTGCACCTGCTCCTTGGAAGGGCTCACACAGTCCCAGCCATAGCGCTGTCACCTGTGTGGGGACACTGGTTAGGAGGCACTTGCAACCGAGTGGAAAGGGAAGCCCGCCGTGGCACAGGTTGCCACGCAGCGGAAGCAGTTCGGCTGGTGCTTCCCAGCGAGTGGCGTCAGACGCACGCCTTCCCCCTCCGAGCGAGGTCTCTGGGTAGCTTCCTGGTGTTTCCCCGGCGCCTCAGTTACTGTGTGTAGAAGATGTTTTCCTCTCCCACCAGTCCCAGTCCCTCCTTGTCTTCGTCCTCGCGATCTCTCTGCCCGGACGCCTCCGCGTCCCACCGTCTGCAGGGCTGTCCCTTGCCTCTGCCCCCAATTTACTTTGTGTCCCTTCTTTCTGAGACTGAGCCCCCCCCCCGCGGCTCCTCCTGACGCTGACCTGAGCTCACCTCCCACCCTGTCCTCCTCATTCTCTCCGTTCTCTAACTGTCCTCACACTGCCACCAATTGTCGCCCCTAGTGAGCATCCCTGTGTCCTCTGTGGCCTCTGCTTGACCGCCTTGGCTGCGTCTTGCGGCCTCACACACCAGGGCGCTGCTTTCTGCGGGGCGCGAGGACACAGGGCCCGGCCCAGCCTCCCTCCCGCGCATTTCCTGCCCGCCTTCTCCGTGTGGCTCAGGCTCCTCGCCAGCTCCTGATGTGGGTGCCTTTCCCGGTTTGCCCTCTGTCCCTGCCTGACCGCTGCAGGCCATGGCCGTGACCTCCCCGGGCCCTGCTGGCTCAGACTCCCGGCCACTGTTCTCTGCGTTTCCTGTGGAACCTGGACGCAGTTCTCTTTGCTGCACGCATTTTTGGACAGATCTCTGGTGCCGGCTGCTTGAGAGTGTGACATTCACGTTTGTGTCCCCTGATGCCACACCCAGTACCTCCACGTAGGCTCTGCCCAGTCAGTGTTGTGGAGTGAAGCACCAGCCTTCCAGCAGGAAGAGCTAGAACCCGTTGTCACCACTGCCACTCGAGTGCACTTGGAAGTGACATCATGGTAGCCGGGTCAGCCGCTGTGTCGCTGTGACATATAAATAAATTGACTTAATTACTTGTAACTTGACTGCACAAATAAGTAGTATGACTTTCCACGGAGGGTATAACTTATCAAGGAATAGCTTAAGTTTTAGCCCAGGCTTTTATCTAGAATGAGCTTAGCATTAGTGTATTAGTGAGGTAACGCATACTGTGAAAATACTTTGTAAAACTATAAAGTGCTATGCAAACGCTATTGTTTACCGAATGCCTGTTAGGGCATGAGGTCTCCTCAAGGTAATGGACGATGCGGAGATGCGAAGTGCATGTGTTAGGCGTGCGAGAGGAGACGTTTCGACCTCTCCTGGTAAAACAAGGTGGAGGGCAGTGCTCATGGTTTGTGGAGATAAGTGGAGAGCCAGCTTCTTTGCGGAAGCACCGGGGTATTTAGTAGCAATGGGGTAAGTCAGAACAGAGTTCAGGGAAAATCCTAGGGTTGGCAGTACGGGTTTGGGAGCTGCAGATACAGACTTGAGAGTCATCTGCGTAGTAACAAATGTTGCAGAGTGTGATAATAGCGAATGGAAAATGTGCTGATAAGCACTCGTAGGTAAGACAGCCACCTCCCTCAACCTGCGGATTTCCCCACATCATGTGTAAGACCTGCTGGGTCCCCACGGCCTTTGGAGAGGGCCTTGCTCACGGCCTGTTTGCAGACAGACCTGTGTGTGCGGAGGTGCCAGGGTTCCCTTCTAGAACGTGCTGACGTTGGGATTAGAGCGCTGAGGCGTCCTGGCACCAGAGCCTATCTCCAGATGGTGCCGACCACACCAAGACAGGTGTGGGTGGGGACAGCGGCTGTTTGTTGGGCAGGATGTCCGCTTGTTGGCACTTGCAAGCGAATACCAGTCATCGGCAGAAACACTGTTGGTGGCGGTGGCTGAGCTGCAGGAGTGCTCGTGTGCGAGCTGTGTGAGCGAGGCACACGTGAGGGCGGGGCTGACATGCAGCTGCCTCCACGCCTTTGTCACGTGTGTGTCGTGTGTTCTTCCCAGTGACCTTGAGATGGTTTTCAAAAGAAGGCTTCATGTTTGTCGCCATGTATTAGGAATTTTTCCTGCTTTGAATAATGTCACTCTACTTAAATTTTGCTCTAATTATTTCTTTTCTTTCCTTTTCTGAAGTCAACAGCCCTCTATACCACCTTTGATGAAGTAAGTAAACTTGTAAAGTACAATTCAAAACATTGTATTCTTTTGAAGTGCAAATTAAAATGCAAAACTAAAGATCAACCATAAATCACATGCTTACAGGAAAATGTTGATAGCCTTATAAGCCTAAAAAACCTTATTGTAGAGTTAAATATGGGTTTCAGGCTAAATGAGACCCAGTATTATTAACCGAGTTTCTGAGTCACAGAGATGGCAAAGTCAGAGATGGCAGGAGGGACAACGTTCCGTACTGTGACGATTTAGAGGCTGACATGTTAGATTTAAGGTCAACACCCTTTCTTGCATAGGAAACACATGAGCTCGTGTTATAAGGACGTAGTGTACACTGATGCATTTAATCTGTGTATTTTCAGGGTCTGGAAGTGTAAAAATGACCACTGACAATCTCTCTGATCACTCGCAGACCATAGAGGCTTTTATATTTATGTGTCGTCCTTCTAATGTACCCAAAAGGCAGCCACCACAAAGGCGGCCTCCGGGGGAAACGGGGAGTGTCGGGTGGGGGTTTGGGCGTCCTGACCGTTCTGCCTTTAGACAGCTGTCAGATTCCTATGAGAATGGGGGTAGGTGGATTCAGAAAGGTGCTGCTCACCTAGAGTTTGTTCCGGCCATCCCGTAAATAACCGGCAGTTGTTACCCATGTCATATGTTTGCAACTGCGAGGATTCGCTCAGACAGTGCAGCCAGCTGTATGGGATCAGGCCTGGCGGGGTGCAGGGGATGGCCAGCTCCACAGCCCGGGGTGAGTTAGGGAGTGAGTCATTAAGTGACTGGTGGGTTCTTATACACATACATGTACACATGTAAACACACATATACAAGCACACGTAAACACGTGTGCATATAAGTACACAGACACTCAGGTGCACACACACATATATACACATAACTAACTGTACATAAACACACACCCTACACAGTTAAGAAGATACATAAAGTCATACAGGTTAAGAAGTTTTCCTGAACTGGGGACTGGGGTTGCTGGTTTTTCATTCAGGTGGCTTGGGGCTTATTTGACATGTCACACGAACGGTACTGTGTCCTTTGACTCAGAGAGGTGTGCATGTGTGCGCGCACGCATGCGTGTACATGAGCCTGTGTGTGTACCAGTTAATCAGCTTGTTTATTTTCGGTGTTTCAGATTCTGGCGAAACACTTGAGTGACGGCGAAATCAACCAACTTCCTCTTTTCCTTGGAGAGCCTACAATGGTAAAGTGAGAGGTCTTTGCCAGCCTCAGTCTTGTGTGTATGGATGTGACCAGCACTTCTCCCAAGTGAGATGAGCTGTGACCTGTGAAAGGGCAGATTGAGCTCTGACTCCGGCGTGGGCCCTGGGCATCGCTAGTTACTCAGATGCACTTTTTCTAAGGCCTGTTCTCAAGCAGCATTTGAGTGTGGGTTGCGAGTGTGTGCGTCGTGCTGGTACAAGGGACTGTATTTGCTGTGGGAACTGCAACAGTCAGATGAGACCAAGAAGATGAGTGTCGGATGAAAAGAGAATTATGAATTATTTACAGCTATGTTTTCTTTACCGTTTTTGTGTTTCGTGAAGCTATTACCACGACTACTTTGGGATATAGATAGAAGTTTTACATTTATTTTTTCTAACTGGGAGTTGGCAAAGTAAGATTCCAGTTCCTGTTGTGTGACTTAGCCCGATTCCATATGCTGGGTGGGCGTCCACTGCTGCCATCAGGAAAGTAGGCTGACAAGCTAATTTGTCTAATACTCTCCTCCATCTTGGATCGGTGACTGTCTCGTCCATCGCAGTTTGCTGGCGCTTTTCCCTCTACCCTGTGGGAGAGGCCTTGGGCTTGTGCCGTTGGGGGAAACAGCTGTCTTAATCGCGCTCCAAAAATGCAAGCAAGGACACGAGGAGACAGGAAGAGGGGCTGTGTCCACTCGCATAGGAGCACAGTGGGACTGCTTTGACCGCTGTGGGCCTTGGCTCCCAGATGTGGACACATGGCCCCATTCCTGCAGGAGCTGAGACAAAGGCGGGGTGTTTCGCTGCGCATGGACCCCTCCACACAGCTGTCGTAGAGCAGAGATGAAGACTCCTTGGTCCTCTTGTCGGTCCGGCCACAAGCAGCGGGGTGCGGTTAGAGAGAACGGGGGTTCTCAGGAGAGCCCTGCCTGGGGCAGTGGGGTGCAGTTAGAACAGGGGTTTCAGGGAGAGCCCTGCCTGAGGTAGTGGGGTGCGGTTAGAGAGAACAGGGGTTCCTGAGAGAACATCAGCTTGGTTCTTTGAGGCTGTGTGACTGTGCACTGGTCTCTGAGGTTCACCTCTCTGGTCTGTAAACGATCACTGTGCTCCTTGAACGTGTCAGGCATGGACATTGGCGCTCCCTTCCTCTGCAGAGAAGACTGACCAAATATTTTCTGTGTTTATTTTCTGAAAGGAGTTTCTTTGGGACTTCCTGAACCATCAGCAGGGTCCTCGTGTAAGAGATCGTTTAAGCCATGGGGAAATCAACTTACCTGAATTTCCAAAAGAAGTCACAGACCAGCTGCTTGCGTTTTCCACTGTACTTTTGCTGCGATTTGTTGACGAAGAGCTGGCATCAATGTTCAAGGTCAGGTGTAGAAAAGGATACAGCTAGCGAGATCACAGTCCGCTTTGAAAGGATATCATTCATTTTTAAATGTACTTACCTCTTAATTCTTTTGCTTAATTTATCTGAGTTACAGTATACCACCATCAGAACAAATAATTGTGACTCTTTACATGTATGCATGTATTCTCTATAACAAGTAAATCAACAGTACGTAATCAAATCTAAAATAATTTAGCCTGTTTCTTAAAAACACATTTGCCTTTGTTTTTGACAGCCATGGGAAATTGTAAACCAAAGAACCAAAGAGTATTAAACAGGATTAACTAAATATAATGGACATTTTTTACAGCTGTCTGTTAAATTGGTGGGTGCAATATTTGCACTTATCAATAAATTAATTGTTTATTAAAATAAATAATGAGGGTTAGAATATTATTGATGTTTTAATTTTTTTCAGGATATACTCATATATATATATAACAGTTATTGTTAAAGTTTAAAAGTTCAAACAAGGGAGAAAAATTAATGTAGAAAGTGAAAGTCCTCAGGAATTCAGTTTAAAACATATAGGAATGAGTTCTTGATGGATTAATTGGGGGACAATGGCCATTTTTTATATTACCGAACATTACTCCCTAACACGGTCCCCGTTTCTTAGGCTGCCTCACCTGAGCGTCAGGCAGCACCTCCCTCCCAAGAGGCAGCTGAGGCCCAGAGCCTCATCCCACCTTCATTCAGTCCTCGCCTATAAAAATATGCCCCAAACCTGTGTCTCCCACCACTGCCATGCCTCCACCTGGGCAAACCCCCTAACCTTTCGCCTGGGATGTCACAGGCTCTGGCAGGTCTCCCGTGGGGTTCCACTCAACACAGCAGGCAGAGGGGTCCTCTCCCACTTCCTCCCTGCCAGGAGCCTCCTGTGGTGTCACGTGTGCTGCAGAGCCGCACGGGGGCGCTCAGGCCCCAAGCTGTCCAGTCATCACTGACCTTCACGGCCTGTGGCTCGGCTGCCCCACTAGAATATAGAATGTGGACCCCGAGGCCGCATTTTTGGTCCGTTTTGTGTACACAGCCCAAGTCAGTCCCTGCTGCACAGTGGGCCTCCTTGGGTATCTGAGTGAGCGGAGGGGCTCACAGCTACCACCTCGCTGTTTCAGTTATTCTTCGTGTGCTACCGAGAATTCTGGTAGGTACTGATTACATGTAGGAAAGCTATTGAAAGCTGTCAACTTACCGATTTTTCTTTTTGCTTCTAATAATTTTTAGTCAGATGACTTGGATTTTCTAGTTACATCGTTACATCAGTATAATTAAATAATGATGTTTTTACTCTTTTTTCCATATTTACATGTTTACCAATTATGTGTTTAGAGCTATGTAATTCCGTTTTAGTTGTATTGATTTTACTGTTTAAATTTCTACTGTTTCATAATATTTTTTAGAAGAATCTCTTAAATTTTCCAATTGTTTGGAATCTTTTTTTTTCTTATTTCTAGTTTTGTTGCATTGTGAAAGAGAGTGGACGTGGCCTTTTAAATTTATCATTGTTATTGGCTTCATTTAAAATAATTCTGTTGGTTATGATTTGAATATTATCTCAAACCTACTTTAAAGAAGAGCTTTGCTTTGTTATAGCTGAATACAGTTACGTGAAGCGCATGATGAGACGTTGGAACTCTTGTGTGACTTAATATTCAACAGAAGAAAATTAGAAGCCTAACCAAAGTTGCAGTAACTTAATGTCTGTTTTTTTTAAACTAGGAAAAAGCAGCCATAAAATCACTGGTCCGTCTGGCAGAAGGTTACAGTGCTTGCTTCCATCCCGTGTCTCTGCTGAGAAGACAGGTCTGTAGCGTTTGAGCCATTCAGGCGATGCGTGTCCTCCGTGCAGAGATGCCTGAGGGCTCCAGGCCAGCCTGGTCAAGGCGGACTTCAGGGTCAGCAGATCTGGCTTTCTAACTATAGTGTGTCACTCGGGAGCGCTGCCTGGCGTGACGGCTCAGGCGTGTGGCCTGGTGTGACGGCAGCTCGGGCGCGGGGCCTTGCCCAAGTTGCTCGTCTTTCCGAGCCCCAGGTTCTGCACGCAGCAGGTGAAAAATGGTACTGTGTGTGTGTGTTGTGTCGGGTGTTTTTAGTACAAAACGGTGACTGTTGGAAAGTGCTGTACAAGCTATTATTATCATCATTAACCCAGGACTAGTCACAGTTCTTGCTTGACAGTGATGAAAAATGTCAATTTTCATATTGACAGTTTTTGTTAACTTATAAATTAAATAAGTAAACAGCAAACTTTTAAGCATTCCTGCTAGGAAGTTCCGCTTTGGAAATCTGCTGAGGTTCTTGATCCAACATATTGTAGAACATGAAGGTGGTGCAGGGGGCAGGAATGGGCTCATCCCACCGATGGCACGATCATGATAGTTGTTGACTTAGAAATTCATCGGGGAGCCTGCTGTCTGGAGAGAGCAAAGGTCGCTGAGGGGACGGTGCCATGGAAGACCAACTGTGCTGATCGCGTAAGAAAAGTGGCGTCAGTTAGAAGGGGTTGTCAGCACAGAGAAGAGAATCCTGCAGGCGTTGGGGTCCGATGCTTTCTGAGAGAAGAATTCAAGCCGAGTGTGCAAGTCAGGCGGTTCTTGGGCGACGGTGCACGGCTGTGCATCTGGTCCCATTGACCACGCCCAGCGTACCAGCTGGGCCTGTGCAGCCTGAGCTTTGCAAGGACAGAAGCCTGGGAGGGAGGACACCAGACCCTGCCTGTGGGCACCCGCTCCAAGAAACAGAGGGACGGCAGGAGGGCGCAAGGACAGTTTCAAAGGAAGAAGGCGCAGGAGGGAAGAGTTGCTTCGGAAGCAGGCTTTGCCCCGGGCCCAGCCCCCCTGCTTTCCCCACATTCGGCATTTTGGGCCATCGCCTTCTCCGGTGGCTTCTCAGCCCTGCCATCTGATATTTGCTCACTTTTTATTCAGCAGATGGTCCTGCGGCCTGCTCTTTCTCAGGCCATGCTCTGGTTATTACAGTTGGTGTTGACAACAGCCACTGAATTTGCTTACACTTTTGTGGGTTGGAAGCTTGGGACAGGCTCTGCTGGGCTGCTGTCCCCTCCGAGAAGATGAGAAGCTGGTGCTGGGCACTCAGCTGGGGCTGCCGGCCGAGGCCTCAGGCGGCGCCTCCAAGGGCACGTGGCCTGGAGAAGCAGGAAAGGCACCACCTTTTCTGACCTGGCTTCGGAAGTCACCCGGCAGCCTCACTACCTCTGTTCTCCTGGTGACAGGACGCCCGCTGAAGCCAGTCCCAATTTTGGGGAGTATGTGGCCCCAGCTCCTGATGGGAGGGTCGTGGGAAGAATTTGCAGACACGCTTTACGGCCACGTGGACAGGAACTACCCACTGACCCCTCGAAGTTTCTCCAGCCTCCCCTTACCTGATTATAACGAATAGCTGACACCACCACCTAGTTTTCAAAGAAGTGATTGCAACATCTGTAACTGTTTAAAAACGTATTTACTAGAACCTCCTTGTGAGATCTTTAAAGGCAGTGAGACCTTTTCCCCTCAGGTGATGAGCTGTGAGGAGAGCATCAGGGCCTGGCCTCTGCTGCCTTTGCCCAGAGAGGCCGAAGCGGAAGTGACCAGGTGAGCTGTGTGCCCGTGCAGACCTCGTGGTGGTCATAGCAGCGGCTGCTGGAGGCCCCAGAGGGGTCTTCCAAGGCCAGTGGAAGAGGAGAAGCCCAGTTGGCACCGCTGGGCCTTGGTGAGCAGTGGAGCAGCCGCGAGGGGAAGAGCACAGGTGACCGCCCAGCTCAGGCCCGGTCATGGGCAGGGCTGTTGGCGGAGGCTGAGAACGTTCAGAAGTACTCAGTGACAGTGGAAGCAGGGGTCCGGCGCTGGGGAGAGAAGTTCCGCATCGTACAATCGGCAGACGTGTGCGGTGGGAACGGTACTGGACGAACAGGCCGTCTTTGTCAGCAGAGTGCTTAGCTTTTAGCATACCGTGTCACCTGATTTTACCACCGCCTCTGATGGTGGCCTTTTCATTTTATTTTGGGGGAAGCAGTTGCAGGTTAAGTGCTTTGCTCAGTGAACCATTAGCATAAATAGTATTTTGTAGCCTTAATTATTGTTATGCATATTTAAATATTTTCTATTTTTCAGATTAGAAGGTAGTTCTGAAACAAATGCCTGCGACTCTTTGATTATAAAAATCGCGCATGAGCTGCACCGCCACATACCTGAGAATCACTGTGTGTGTGCTGGCGTGGACCACCTTCCCGTTGATAAGTAAGTTTCAGGACATCCTGAAAATTGTTGAAACACTCCTCAAGTGAATGGGGACGGCAGGCTCAGCGAGAGTCCCTCTTGTTCCCCAGAGGGACTCGTAGGTAAGCCCCGGGAGCCTGCCTGCACGCGCCGGTGCCCATGGCAGCTCACCACAAGTACGCCCGCGGTGAGCCTGCACGGGCGGGCCCCTGCCAGGTGTCCCCGTGGGTCCGCAGGGTAAAAGCAGGCCTCCCGCCGGACTTTACAGCCCAGTAGGTCTGCCTGGCGGTGACAGGAAGGCCCATTGGAGTCTCGCTCTGACCTGCAGGTGGCCCTGGCCGCTCCGTGAACTCTGCAGCATCCGCGTCCCAACACTGTTCTGCCCCAGAGCCGTTCTGGAAGTGCTTGCTGTGCTTCAAAACATCGGCAGGCGCTGCGCCCACGTGTCCCGCCAGGTCGCGGCCTCCTGGGCGCGGAGATGCCGGCAGTGGGTGGAGAAGACCCTGCGCTCGCGGCAGAGGCAGAACTTCGTGCACATGTCACGCAGGTGCGAGGCACTGGCTGCAGTGGGAGGCTTGCCTTCAGAGAAAGACTTAGTTTAGAGAACGTGATGTATGGTGCATGTTATTTTAAAATACTGTTTGTAATTTCGGCACGTGGGAATCCGGGTTCTCCCGACCCAAACAAGTGTCTGGATCTCAGATACAATAGGCGATGAACTGGGTATGCCAGCTGTGCGGTTTCCTCGTATAGCGTTCGTTTTAGAATGTGCTGCGTCTTTAAGAAATTACCATTTTGGACAAATGCCTAGCACTTTGATCCGAGTGGTATCTATAAAGCTTTTAATTCCTGGGTTACTGCTGAAAGGTTCACCCAGTTTATACTCGTAGCAGCAGTTTATAAGATGCCTGTTACATTCTGTCCTTCCCCAAACAGGATATTTTAAAAAGCTCTCTACCAGTTTCATGGGAAAGATATAGCTTACTTTAATTGGCATTTCTTTGAGTCCTGTAGACAACACAGCTCACGTTAGGCTGTTTGTATCGCTCTTCTTGTGAGTCCTTCACTGACTGTCAGATTGTAAGAAAGACGCTGACATGCAGACAGGAGGCGCAGTGGAAGGACTGGATGCTTCTGGTAATGTCGCCGCCATCCTGAGGGGCAGCGTCAGCCCCCGGCCCAGAATTAGACGAAGGTGCTGGTACCCTGAGAGGGACAGAGGGAGGCAGGGCCTGGCTGGTGGCCTGGCTTCTCCCAGGGCCTCCGGGTGCAGCCTGCGGCTGGGGCTGCAGAGGGTTCTCTGGAGAAGTTTGCACCTCAGGACGCCTAAAAAGTTTAGGAAGTTTAGGTGAAACGTTGTCTTCATTGTGGAACTGAAGAATATTTTCTTGAACAAACTTTCATGTATTTCATCTGTTTGTAGTATTAAGCTCCTGTCTCCTGTGCTCCTCCTGATTTTATTGCTGATTGCCCTGGAGCTGGTCAACATTCATGCGGTTCATGGAAAAAGTGCTTACGAGTATCAGCAGTATCTCAAGTAAGTGTGTCAGCCTAGGAGAAATGAACTGTTCTGGTCACTTTAAATAATTTTCACTTCTGTTGGTTATTTTCTTTGGTGATTTTTTTTTTTAATTTTTATTGGGGAATTGGGGGGATGGGAATAGTGCTGGGGAATTGGGGGAAGGGGAACAGACAAGTTGCTATCGTTTTGTTCTTCAGTCTAGTTGTGGAGGATGTTGCTTCACTGGCCTAAGTTGGCACCATCATTGCGCTCTTCCTGGGCGAGGCACATCAGTCGCCGTCTTCTGGACGGCCGCTCACGGTGGCTGCTGGCCGCTCACGCTGGCTGCTGGATACACATGGTAGCCCATGGTAACCCACTGCCACGGGGGCTGCAGCCTACGCCGTCGCCTGTGACTCAGGGCAGCCCAGCTCCAGGTTGAGCTGTTGTTCAGCATCTTAGCTGTGGAGGGCAGTGTCACTGGCCCTCATATGTGGGATCCAAACCGGGGCCCTCTGGCGTCCCAAGCCAGTTCTTAACCATCGCGCCACTTGGCCGGCCCTTTGGTGATTTTTTTAAAACCCCGCAGTCTGCTTGGCCCTTCACTGTCCCTCCTGGATTTCAACAGAAGTCTGTGAACCTTTGAAGCTGTCACCCCTGTCATCACATTTCAGAAAATCAAATGTGATTTACGTGTGGATGCTCTCAGAATTCCTCCCTCTCAGTAGCAATGGCAGCATCCAGAGAGTAATTCTTTAGAGGGGGTCTGTGGGCACCCTGAGTCGGGGTCATGGCCCAAAACCAAATGTGTTTTTGCAACTAATTTTCCCAACTTGGGAAGTCCACTTTTCAGGAGCCCAGATCGAGGGGTATGAGAGGAGGTTAACACCGCTGCGATTGGCTTTCCGTGCAGAGATTCCAGCACTGAGGTGACCCTACGAGAAGTAGCTGCAAAATCGGTGTCCAAGGGCCACTCACAACCTGCTTCCATGAACTCCCTCATGTTTTCTTGACTTTAAGCTAAACTTGGCAGCTAGCAGGTGCCTCAGTACACGTTAAAATGAACATGAAAACATAACCCTGGCATTTTATTAGAAGATGAAATCCAGGTGACAACAAGGTAGCAAATGTTAGCAGTTGGTATTTGTTTTCAGTCTAGTCAGGGCTTTGCAGCCTCCAAACTACTGGCATTCTGAGCTGGATGGTTCTCTGATGGGGCCGTCCTGCGCATGGTGGGGGCTTGTAGTGGGGCCGTCCTG